ATAATATTAAACTAGATATGGAGCCTTTTAACAAATGATAACTGCTTTGGTAATAACATTTTCGACATGAACATACGAAAATGAGTATAGACAGTATGATTGATTAAAATTATGAATAGCCTGGAGCAAAATAACTTGACATTTCACTTGGGTAGTTGGGCACGCGTCATGAGTGCGACTAATTCATTTACCTGCGTGGGAGTTCACGATGATAATGTTTATCTGCAGCCAGCTATCATAGACCTGTCATACGTAATTAATATTCTTTTTTACCCAACTACGACAGCGAAGCGAAAAGGAGGGTTATCATTTTGGCCGGTATGTATGTATGTAAAAATGAAACTACTCATCGTTACTGGACAAGTGAGGTGTCATTAAAAACGTCTTAGTTATCCGCGTGCTATAGGCTACGTGACATTACATTAAATTGGCAACAGCGCCCTCGATTAATTCCATGTACGGTATCATATGAAAGGGCTTAATTAGCACATTTTAGATATATAAATATATATTGATAGCTTTGCATAAATACACTAGAAAATTAATTAAATAAAAAAATAATCAAAACTTAAACTCAAATCACGCTCTAAAAAGTAAAAAAAAAGAAATTTGTTTTACAGCTATATTATAATAACGATGTCAAAAAGACAGTGTAGTCGTATCCCACAACAGTTTGTTTTGTTATGTTCAATGGCATACGACTACTCTGTCCTTTGGTCATCGCTATAATAGTATAGCTATCACGCTTAGATAGCTGTAGTCGGATTTTGTTTTCGAACAAAAATTTTTTTAGGCATTATTCCGCAAAATATGCCATCATTTATTTCTTATGACCGTTTTCACTAACCTGGAAAAAGGCATAGTTTAACTAGTAATCACTTAATATTCAGAATAGCTTAAGCACATTTGTCGTTTCAATATGTAATGTTAGGTAATGCCTTAAGTTAGCACTTGCTTAGAAAGGCAATGTTAATCTATGATTTTGCATGCTTAAGATCCTCTTATTTTGTCAATGTATTGCATATTTACGTTTACACGATTCCGCCAATGTCACGTTAGTGGCATTTACACGTAAAGATAATAAAGGTAATAAAACAAGAGAAAATATACGTGGTCTTATATTTGCACGGGCACCCGTCTTCATCATCCATTTATTCAAAGACCGAAAATTAAAAAAATCTCTGATGATTCGAACTTATTAAGTTGATTTTTTCCCTTGAAACAACCGTTATAGCCAAAAAGTAAATGTGTATCTCACAATACACAAATGGCCAGCGCTAAGTGCCGCACAATACATGACCTTAATTTATATGTTGCCTAAAGTCGTCAGGTGGCTCCTTGTCATTGGTGGAACGCATGTTTATCATTAACAATGCCCAAATATTTAGGTGTCAGATTTGGGCTATTCCTAAGTTTTAAGATAATTATTTTAAAGACAAGAAGCAGGAGTTTACCCACTAAAACTCAGCGATGTCCCTCGCATGGAACGTGATGCACGAGATCGGCCCGAAGGCCCTACACCGCGCGTTTCGCCCCCATATGGGCCCGGCCTGAAAAGGGCAGGTCCCGCCACGGGTTAGGAGCACAGTCCCCTACCCATCACTCGCATAGGAAACCCCTTATCGTGGATCCCCCCCCCCAGGTCGTGGAGCCACAGAAGACCAGACCCAATACGCCCTGTGTCAGCTCCAAGGAGCAGACAGGGCGAGTCCAGCCGGTCGACGGGTCGCAACCCCTTTAATCACAAATATGTGACCTATCATATACGCAAACGCCAAGCGCAAGGCGCTGCATACCGTATATCATAACTTTAGATATTGCTTGATTTCGTTAGGTAGTTTATAGTCAATGTTGAAATGCATTTTTACCTTAGACGATTGCAGATTTGGGCGACTCCTAAATTTAGTGAAAACGGGCATAACTGTCGTGCTGCTTCTCGACAATTTTATATACATGATATACACACGCATTAGTTTTTATTTTCATTTTTATTATTATTGTCATATTTCACACACACAGTGGTGTACGAGTGCATCAGTAACGTAATTTTAGAGAGCTTTCTCGCAAGTATTTAAAAAATAAGATGTAACTGATATTAATTACAAAATCGAAATAGTTATAGTATAAAAGTTTTGAATATAAATTTATTCTTTAAATAAATGACGTACATTGAATATTTAGAACAGAAATAGGAGCTATTGTAATTAAAAATCATAATGCAGTTAGTTACATACAAATATTACATATGTGAATGTTGTATTATTTAATCGTATCAAATATCTCAATATCAACTTGAAATATTGTATAATACCTTAGATTAAGCGTAACGTAGTATTATTATTATAATACAATTCTCTATTTGACAGTACCGAGTGATTTTTAATGTGTTACATATATAGAACAACTTTTTGTCTCGCGAAGCTTGTTATAAAGGTTGGTGCTGACTGATCGTTTTATTGTGAAAATAAACCGATAAGAGAATCGATTTATTTACCAATTTATTAAGAAAATCTTCATTATAATCACGATAACAGAATGAGTGGAAGAACAAGAGATGTGGTAAGAGTGACCTTTGTTTTAATTAAAGTTCCTGAGGTGGTTTAAGAAACGCAGAGAGTAGGTTACGGATCGACACAATTCAACGATTTGCGTACTCCATTTGAGCTTGGAGTCTATGGAAAACAAGGTTTTTAACACACGGCCTTTTTTAAACCTTCCAAACGAATGAGTAGTATTCTGAAAATGACGAACGAATGATAAAGAATGATGATTATGGATTTGACAATAGTGTTATCAACTGAGTCATTTATCCCAAATATATATACTAAGACATCTGAAAGTAGTAACATCGCTAAAATATCATACCCTATCGCTTAAGTCATGACTTGCTATAACTCTAGCCATAGCTATAAAAGATTTTATTAATTATATCAATTATTGTGTTCATATTTTCATAAATGTTTCACATAAACGTACAGATTCACATAAATGTTTGAAGTACGACCGGTTTCTGAATTAAGAAAAGTACAAATGTCAACTGATTATTCTCAATAACCAAAGTTTATTTAACTGAAATCAGAAACGAAAACCTGTTTAAGTGACGTTTTGGTACAGTTTGAGACGCGCTGAACTTTAAATACTCAATTCAGAAACCGGGAGTAAATAAAAATAATCTAAAAAAATATTTGAATCTAATATACAGATAATAAAAATATATGGCTGTGTAAGAAAATTAATGTAAACATATACAAAATTATATTAAAACATTTTTAAAGCTATGCCTAGAGGTACAGCGAGCGCGAGAGTTAGGTAAGGTTAGTGAGTGGTCGTTCCTCTGGGCCACAGAACACACTGGGCAGTGCCGGACTGGGGTTTTATTATGAGTTTAGTCAAAAGCGTGGCTGATTTTATTTCTTGCATTTTTTAACACTGACTACAAAAATTAATTTATTGGCTCTAAACCATAGCGAAAATCCAATTGTGCGGGGTCTATATCATTTGCTACTATTGCTACGATACGTGACTAATCTGGCCCTGCCTCTGAGCGGTCGCACCCCTGGAGTGTTGAGATTCATACATTTTCACATAAGTAAAGAGTTCTTAAATCCCGTTCCTTTGCCGTCTTTGGCGAATTTAATTTGGATTAGCATACACTTACCCTTAGTAAGCATCTAAAAAGCAGCACCTCCATGAGTCGACAAGCCAGAATAATCAAAACATGGCCACCGATGAATAACTCTATTTGAGTAGTCGTCTTCACACTAATAAATCTATTGAGTCATGTGTTTATGTGTACAGCAGCATCATTAATGAGTTTAAAAAAAAATACAAATTTTCTTGGAAAGAATTCAAATGAAAATCGCCCGGGATGTTGATTATCAATACATCCTAAACATAAAGAGTTAATTGATTTTGTGCCATAAGCAACATATGCATTAAGTATTAAAATGCTTAATTAATTATGAATTTTATTAGCGAAGAGTTATTGTTTCTGATTCCTATGAGACATCTAGTTTTATTTCCCCAAAATTATTAAGACAGTGTATTCTGAACTGATCTATGCTATTCTTTAATTATGTAAAAAAGTTCGTCTTCAGGAAATACCACCCTTATATTTCTGAAGGTCTATGTATGTGCTCTGTCTTATTCTTTATCCATTTTAGTTTACTATTATTCTTTCCTACAATTGAGATTATTTATTAAATATTTTTATTATAACGTGAGCTATATTTACTTGACATATTCATTTGATAAATCTTACTCATTTACGAGTACAATAATATTTAACACCTATTAGATTATGTTATAAATGAGGATTCAGTCAAGTGTTTTTGAAATAAAAAGTAAATGATAGTATGATTTCTAGTGTTCTTTTTAGTTATGTGAAAGAAGTTAACAGAAGTCAATTGACAGGTTTTATGACAGGTTTTAATTAAACAAGTGAAGAAGTTCATTGTTAAGTTCATCTGGTGGTGGCATTCAGTGTCGTGGCGCGGGCGGGTGCCAGGGACCGACAAGAATCCACCAGGAAGCAACTGGACCAGCCGCCCACGCGCTGCGCTCTACCACCGTGCATGCGTTGCACGCATCAGAATCGCATCGACAAAGCATTTCACACGTAAAGGGTATCGCCAAATTTTGGGCAAAACAAATAAAAGAGTACCGCGACGGCGTCAAGACGGGCGTGTCTATAAAAGGCTGAGAGGGGGGTGCGCGGGGGTGGTAACACGATCCGTGAGCTCCAGCCGGCCGGCCGCCCTGGAGCGGCAGCGGCTCCGGTGAGGGCGCGGGGCGCGGGCGGCGTGGGGCGGCCGTGGTGCGCGCGCGCCACCCGCTCCCGCTCTCACTAGTCGAACGGTGCCCGACCGGTAACGTAGCGCCGACTGCCGACCGAGAGACGAACCAGCGACAATGTCCGCCGTGGCGAAGACTTCCAAGTATACCTACCGCAGCAGCGGCGGCGGCACCACCGACGTTAACATCGAGTACAGCGCCGACCTGAGTGCTCTCTCCAGGCTGGAGGTACCGGCCGTACCGATTCAGTGTAGTGTTTGTGAAGTGTTTGCGGAAACATGATAGAGTCTGTTATATTTTTCAGGACAAGATTCGTCTCCTCCAAGATGATCTGGAATCCGAAAGGGAGCTGCGTCAGAGGGTAAGGCTCTCGCATGCGAAATGTGATATGCGTAGCCGCTGAGACCATAGCGGGCGCGCGCGCAGGTGTAGGCGGGGCGCATCTCTCACACCTCTATTAATACCGTCATCTGATTATCGTTTTTCCTTGCATTCATCAAGTGAAAATTAACATTTATTAATTATTAACTTATTCAGCATCTTAAGCTTAACATTTTGTGCAAAAATCTTTACTATCATTTTCAATAGTGCAAGGGGATGGTTATCGTTCTATTATTTATTTGTTATTTTTCACTAATAATATCACAGAAAGCTTTCATGCAAATTATTCCATATGTCGTCCTTAAAACTTATGTCTTTACTTAATAATCAGTTCAATAACCAAAAATGTGTAATGACAAAAGAAATCGTATTTTACTAAATATCAGTTCATTCACGTTTGGCACACTAAGTTCAATGGCATCAATATTGTGAGCATATTCAATTATTGAAATGTCTTCATGTGATCCAAGATTACGGGGGCTATTTTAGGCCGTTGCAACGTTCAGCACAGGCAAGCAATCGCAAGTTGCGTGCGGCGTCAGCGCAGAACCGCGATAAACCGCCATCACTTGTCGCAGTCCCACCCGCGCATCGCTTGCGCATCTTTGATATATTTAGCCACATAGCGAAAGCATTCTCTGAAATCTCAACATCTCGCTCTCCGGTCTCACTTTTGAAACTGGGCCAAATGATGCTCGTTCCCGTTGAGAATGCTACAATATTGAAATATAATAATAGACCGTGGTATGAGTGGCGAAAATATCCGACTTAGTCACAGCCAATGTGAGAAGTGAACCGTTTCTTATTTTAGACGAGCACAATGTGGAAATATGCGAAGGACGTTGCTGTTCCGTGTAATGAATGTTGCATAATATTCGGAAATAAAATTTAGATGAACACTAACTCATATATTTAATATTTTATATAATAGGTAATTTATCATTTGAGTGTGACTAATAAGCTAACGGTACTACTGAAAATTATGTGATGGATGATGATAATGAAACTAACGATTACTATTTTTTAAAGTACAAGAAGTAAAATAAAATAATAAATTTCAGATCGAGAGGGAAAAGGCAGATTTAAGCGTGCAAGTTATTCAACTCTCTGAGAGGCTGGAGGAAGCTGAAGGTGGAGCTGAGAGTCAGGTAAATATGAAAAATAATTATTATAATTAAAATATGTATGGTTAATTAAAAAAACGCACAAGATTAGGAATTGGTGACAGGCGTGATGACTTCGGATAGAAGATAAAATTTAATGGACAGTGAGAAATTCACTATTAATCCAGAAGAAAGATGGAAACTGTTTGAAGAGTTCGGGAATAAACAACAACATAAAGAATACAAACAACAATACGGATTAACAAAATGCAACAAGAACAATAAAATTTGAATTCCATAAATTGTTTAACAAAATTGAACAAAGAAGAAATTTTCAACGCATCATATGTACTTCATTTATCTTTTCTTTATAAAAGCAATGCGATTTTTTTATTTACAAGCAATGCGATTTTATTTGCTATGCGATATTTTTATAGTGTGTACTCGTAATTTCAGGAATGGACTTAAATCACTGTTTATAGGAGAAACAAATAAAAGAGGGATCATATGTTGATAATTAGCAGAAACAAGCAAAATAATGAAATTTTATATAGACTCCACGGTTACATTGTATATATTATATTATTAATAATTACGAATTAACTCAAATGTGTACCCCAAACACTTTCAGGGGGCATATTTTGAAATAATCTCATAAATTTTTCAGTTCGAGATCAACAGGAAACGCGACACCGAACTTACCAAGCTCCGCAAATTACTGGAAGATGTCCATCTGGAGTCTGAGGAGACCGCCCACCTGCTTAAGAAGAAGCATCAGGAGATTGTGGTTGACTTCCAGGAACAAATCGACCAGCTTTCCAAAGGCAAAGCCAGGTGAGGAAAGCAGGATACTTAGAAATTATAACTTGAACATACACACCAACTGTGTCAATATTACTTAGTCTTAAGAGTGCTGTGCGATTTATCCTTGTAGGCTGTGCGTTTGATTTTGACATCATCACTTTTTTTATAAATGATTATAATATTTGCGGCAATATAATTGCATGTTACTTTTCATTGTCGTCAGGGCTGAGAAGGAGAAGTCCAAGTTCCAGGCTGAAGTTTACGAGTTGTTGGCCCAAGTGGAGAACGTGACCAAGGAGAAGATTACTATTACCAAGCATGTTGAGAAGTTGGAAATCTCTATCAGTGAACTCCACATCAAGATTGAAGAGCTGAACCGTACAATTGTTGACATCACATCGCACAAACAGCGCCTGTCACAGGAAAATGTTGAGCTCATCAAGGAAGTTCAGGACCTTAAGGTAACAGTAATAAATACGTGTAATTTTCTATTAACGATTAAGCTTATCAAATGGGTATAGATTACCTATAATTCAAATACTTTACACATTTTATATATTGCAGACATTTTTGTGCAATTGATGTGTACCGCTTAGCCTATTTCAATTTGTAACATTTCCAGGTGAACATCGAAAATGTCACATACCTGAGGAGCCAGCTAGCCAGTCAGCTCGAAGATTCACGCCGCAGGCTCGAAGATGAAGAGAGAAGGCGTTCTCTACTTGAGGCTTCATTGCACCAGGTAATAAAATAATCTAATTTATACAGTAAAACATTAAGTTATTACAACAGTTCTTGAAATTTTTCAAATCCTTTCCTACTTATAACTCAATGAGTTAAAAACCTAATACACAATAGGTAGATATGCAAAACTTGTTAATGCTCACACAAAAAAAAAACTTAAATTAGGGTATTATGACGCATTGTTGATCTTTCATAGCAAATAGTGAACTTAGATGATAGTTTCAAATCTCGTTTTCTTCTTTAGGTTGAGATCGACCTGGAATCTGTACGCGTACAATTGGAAGAAGAGTCAGAAGCCCGTTTGGACTTGGAACGTCAACTGGTTAAATCCAATGGTGAAGTACAGCACTGGAGGTCTAAGTTTGAGGCTGAGGCTGCTGCCAGGGCTGAAGAGATTGAGGAGATCCGTCGGAAATACTCCATCCGCATCCAAGAACAAGAAGAACAAATTGAAACTCTTATCGCTAAGATCAGTAATGTTGAGAAGCAGAAATCACGTTTGCAGAGTGAGGTGAGACTAACCAAAAACTACAAAATTCAAATATTAACTATGAATTTATTATTAAATGAAACAAATTTCACATTACCTCTGTGTGGAACATCCTTATATTTCTCGTATATAATTTTCTTAATTTATAAAAACTCCTAAATTCCAAAGGTGGAAGTACTCATCATCGACCTTGAGAAGGCCAACGGAACAGCTAGGGAGCTGCAGAAGAGGACAGAGCAGCTGGAGCGCATCAACATCGAGATCAAGTCGCGTTTGGAGGAGACGGTGCAGTTGTACGAGACGTCGCAGCGTGATCTGCGTAACAAACAAACAGAGTTACAGCGTGTCTCGCACGAACTCGACAAGACTCGTGAGCAGAAGGATGCTCTTGGCCGCGAAAACAAGAAACTGGCCGGTGAGTCTTTAAAAATTGAAATAATAAAATCAAAGAAAACAAATTTTGTAACTATCATTATAGTTACACTGTCATAACTGATGATATAGTTCTGTACAATAATTAAAAGTAATACTTTTTATTAAGATGAAATCTAAAAATATTTTGGATATGATAATGTCGTAAATGTGAAACTAATTATAATGACAGATAATGATAATAGCATACCTGTTGCAGATGACTTGCACGAGACCCGTGCTAACCTTACGGAGTTGAACCGCCGTCTTCACGAGCTCGAAATCGAGCTGCGCCGTCTTGAGAACGAGCGAGAAGAACTCACTGCTGCCTACAAAGAGGCTGAGGCTGTAAGTATTCAGTTTTATGTTATTATTATTGAAGTGTGGATTAACGACGTTTATTTAGTTCTCTAAGTTCACTGTTAAGGTCTGATAGTCAAAAAATAATATTTATTTCTTCAGTTCAAGTTCACAAGAAAGTAAACTTTTATTAATGAAAAGGAACAAGTGCATCGGCAATTTTAGTAATGGATTTAAAATTAAGTCCTAAAGTAGGTTTAAAGTCAATTTTTTTTTTTTGTCACTGAAGGATACAATTTGGTATGTTTTAATTTGTTTATAATCCAAAGTACTCGTAGATTAATGCGCGTACGAATAATATGTGATCGGACAGTAATCAGATAAAAAATTAAAATGTGTTTGGTCAAAAAGATTATTATCGTCATCGAATGTTTTTGTTAGATAATAATTATTTATATTTAAATCAAGAAACAAAACTTCAATTATTAAATATTTTATTGCTATAAAATTTGGTAATAAAACTATCTAGGCAAAGCACGGAATTGTCCGGTGTAAAATAATTTTGATGATTTTTTAAATTATATTTTTAGATATGTTTAACATAATGTTACGTTTTCTGAGTTGGCGTTTATGCATTTACATAAAATAGTATTGTAAACATAATACTTGTGGGAATAAATATCCATCTTCGTTAAGTAAAAGCACTTTTTGAAACTTCTTTAGCATTAGAATGGTTGTAATTGCGGAATGGCTACCTTTATTTACCTAATTTCTCGTAAAGATAACATCCTCTAGGAGAGACCTGTTCTATAAGATTGACTGCAGTTGTGGTAGTTCGTGTCAAACAAACACATCAAAGCAGTCAGGGATCACATACAAAAATGAGTTATAGCGGAACACTCAATTAGTTCGGGATCCAACCCGCATCGAGCTCCATAAACCACAGATAATCTCGAGTGAATCTCAATACATACCCATAATGATCAGGGAAGTGATTGAAATAACAAAACACAAGAAATTTTATAGTGGCGACGGGCTTAAGTTGTCGAATGTCTGGAATCCGTACCAGAGTTCGTATTTGTCAAAACCAGAAAATAAACAGCGGGACAGTGATTGTTGTGTATCGAGAACAGGTGCGAGTTAGTTGTGACTTAGTGAACGTTGGTACGAGCATCGAACGTAAAAGGATTGGAAAGAAGGTAGATTAATAATAATCAAGATTGTCAATAACATACACCCGCTAGACTTCAGTTACTCCGAGAACATGGTAGTTGCAACAGTTACATATCAAGGACCCGATAAATATAAGGTACATGGTAGCAATCCCGCAATTAAAAATCATTCTTTTTTGAAGGTGGTTCGATTCATATACTTTAAAAAATAATTAGATGTCATGTCCTGTATTTTTTAATTACAATCATAGGAAATAAATAATTTGTGTTACCTTTTAAATGTAGTGATATTAGTCATTTTAATTCAGTTAGTGAGATGTTGGCAACTATTCAGACAATATCGGAGTTACGTGCTATCCGGGCCAGAGTTCCTCACTGCATTAATATAGATTTTATTTATAGCGTTAACAAGGACATAGCATACTGTCTTATTTAAACCTTTAATTAGTCTTCTATTTAAAATGTGTTTAAATACTTGTTTATATGTATAAGTTTGAAAAAAAAAACTTATTACTACACATTGTTGACGAAAACTGATAGTTATAATTATAAAATTAATCAAATATATTCTATACTTGAGAATACGAATGCTAATTGTCGCAACAGACCGAATTAAATACATCATTTTCTTTAGTTAGAATTCACAGTCAGTGCGTGATCTATATGGTCATACAATTCTATTAGAACTTTCCGATATAATTCTTATAAACATATCGAACATCTACAAAAATAAACTTAATTCGCAGAAATTTGTTGTTATAAGAAATCATTCGCTTAGTTATTCATAAACAACACACAGCGTCAGCAAATTAAACAAAAGATATTTTTGAGGACATGTCGATGAAAGAATATTTTTGACATAGGGTCGCAAAGCTGAGGAACAGCGTGCCATGAGACTGACAGCTGAACTTGGTCAGTTCCGTCACGAAGCTGAGCGTCGCCTCCAAGAGAAGGAAGAAGAGATCGAAGCTATTCGGTAAGTAATAACGACTCCCATTAACATTATTTTTCTATGAAGCGAAAGATACATTAGCCAAAAGTAAGTGAATATGCTTACAAAAAATGTTTACACAATGAGATTACTTATATTAATTAGTCTTTTTTAACTACAAATAGATCTAAAAACTCACCAGCAGGAATCTCAAATTGAATGTGGTGAACAAATAACAAAAAATAAACAGTCTGTTGCTCTCCGGGTTGGAATATTGAATGCGGTATATCTTTCAACACGAAAGTTGTATCCCCTCTCTTCATACCTTTGTTACAACTGAGTGATGAGTGCCACTAAAAAATGTGACCAACAGCGCACAAAATCACAACCATGACACAATTTTGTTATTGGACTAAATCCAAGGGAAGATTGATGTACTTATCTATTTACTCTCTAATTTCGAAAGTACAGAATAAATCTTCTTTGTAAATATTAAACATTATTTGTTGAAACTCATTAGTTGGAAGTAGTATGCACCTATAGCAAATTTCCGGCGAAACGAATCTGGGCAACGTGTAGTTCTTCTTAATATATCCCAATTTATTGGCACAGAATTCGTTTATATTTAACCGCTTTGCTGATTGGCGAATATTACCGGAGATTAAACATAAAGATTGGCACATAGGTGCTCATGAAAATCTACAAAAGCGGTCGGCAATTTTGCGGTTGCCCTAATTACGCAATATCGGCCTCTGGCGGTGCACGTCGGTGTGTGCGATATATTGCAACGAAACGATCGACATTTGACACTCACTGTAAATCTTTCATTATGCCACCTGTTAAAGTGCCCAATTACAATAAATGGATTAAACCTCCCACTGCTGTCTACGAAGATAATTATGGCTACGGCATAAATTTTTATCAGCCAATGATAGATTATATATCAGCTAAAGAGCGAGGCATCGCTGCGAAACCTCCCCATTTACCGTGGAACAACGAACGAGGATTGGAGAAGTACAGATTCGATAAGCCCATACGAGCTTACTCCGAAGAAGACGTATCAAGAATTTCCCATGAAGTAGCCGAACAAGCAAAACGGCATCTTAATAAGTTTGATGTTTCAAAACGCTCTGCGTTCTCTGTTGTAGCCACTGCTGCGACCGCTAATGTGACAAAGCACGTAGGAGTTGAAAGTGTTACAGTGAAAGCAAAGAAGAAAAGAATTGACAGAGAAAAAATTAAAGCTGAAAGACAGAAAAAAAGAATGGATGAAATTGAAAAAGAGCTAGAACGATACGAAGCCGAAATAAACGTAGGGGCAGAATTAAAAGGTAAAGCCATGATGTACAGGGGAAAATCAGCGAAAGCTATTGCCCAAACTTTGTTGGAGGAAAGCAGAAAAAATGTAGCTCAAGGAAGAATTCGTAGAATGGATACAGATGCTAAAAAAAGCGCTATAGATTGCAATTTTGCCAAACTATCAGAAAGCATAATGGAAAAAAATATAGAATCTAAATTGTCTAGTTTGTCACAGAGAAATATATCAGAGTCTTTATGCGAAACAATTAGAACTATACGACATACATCACCGACGACTTGCGTAGTGAGAATCCAAGCAGAAATTCCTATGATCGACGAATCATATAAGCTACGATTGCAAGAATTGAAAGACACATTGAATCACTTTGATGACATAGATACAAATATTTTTGATAGCAGGTATATAATATAATGCGTATGATAAGTAAACTTTTAGTGACAGATAATTTTTCTTTTTTCTGAAATTATGCGTTGTGTTCACAGCAAGCAGACCAGCATTGAGATCGAACAGTTGAATGCCCGTGTCGTTGAAGCCGAAACTAAACTGAAGTCGGAAGTTGCTCGCATCAAGAAGAAGCTCCAGATCCAAATCACCGAGCTCGAGCTGTCGCTTGACGTTGCCAACAAGACCAACATCGACCTTCAAAAGACTATCAAGAAGCAATCCCTGCAGGTATGGAAAATTATTAAATTATTATCTTTACAAAGTTTGTAAAATTAATTTTCTGAAAAATGCCCTCTGGTGCACATTAAGAATTTTTTTAAAGTGGTGATTACTTATTCACTATTTATTAAATTAAAAATAAGAAAGAACATCATAAATGAAGATCTTAAAAGAATGTATTGAATTCAATAATATATTTCATTGCTAGCTCACCGAGATCCAGACCCACTACGATGAGGTCCAAAGGCAACTGCAAGTGACCCTTGACCAATATGGCGTCGCTCAACGTAGGATACAATCGCTCACTGGTGAAGTTGAAGAGATCCGTGGCAATTATGAACAGGTAAAATCTACAGTAACTTTTTCCAGAAAAGTATAGGTACTTTAATTCAAACTATTTGCTATGAACTTGTGAAATAAAAGTTAACGACTATGACTTATAATTAAAAAATGTATTATTGAGCTTCCTAATCACAATAAGCTCTCTCTGATTTATTACGTAATGTCTTTAGCTAACGAAGCAACTTTTTAAAATTGTCTTATTTACGTGGGTACGTTTGAGGGTTCAAAGGCGATCATTATGTTTTAATTTGTGTAACAATTTCAAATTACCGACTTATCTAATAATTTGATGAATTTAGTGACTCACGGACAAACAGATTGACACGTAAGTGATCATATAACGATTCCGTTATGCCTTTTGAGTTTCCATATCTCATACTCATAAAACATCGTCTACAAACCAAAGAAATTGTTATAAATTCACTAATTGTTAACATTACGTTTTCATTAACTTGAAAGTTTAAATCTAATTGCCCTTCCTGTTGATAGACTGACCTAAAATTGCAGACCTTTAATTCTGATGACATCACAATTATCTATTTACAATGCTATTATAAACCGAAAAGACGACCGCCCCGCCGCCACAAAATAGTGAATTAAAAAAAAATATATGCTCCTCTATTACATGAATATCTTGATTAGGAATATACAGCACATATAAATTATTTGCTTATAAAGTTGCAGTCTTTCGGAAAGATTGATAGCAGATTTTATTACGTGTTATATATATTTCATTAAAATGGTTAAACTTAACAAAATGTCATTCTAATTTTGTTTAGGCTCTTCGTGCTAAGCGTACTGTCGAGCAGGCGTTCGAAGAGGCGCAGACTCGCATCAACGAGTTGACAGTAATCAACGTGAACCTGTCCAGCAGCAAGGCCAAGATCGAACAGGAACTCGCCGCTGTCGCCGCTGACTACGACGAGATCACTAAAGAACTGCGCGTTGCCGACGAGAGATACCAGCGTGTTCAGGTCTGATAAACCTTATCTGCTGGGTAAATTTAAGTGAGAGACTCACTTCAAGCTTTAACTTTAATAGATAAACATTAATCACACATAGAAAACAGAAAAAGATTACAAAACAAATTAAGACACTACAGTTATTTGTTTACAGATATTAAAACAAAATAAGTAATCTATCATTGAGAAGTTATAAATTTAGTCTACTCAAATTAGACAAACACTAAGAAAATAATCGATTCAGTCAAAATTTTAATAAGTGTCTTACTAAATTGTGCTTAAAATAATGAATTCAGGTACACACGACTGTACGCCAGGCAACCAAAATATGTCAATTTGAACGCTATGCACTAAATGCACTAAAGTTTAAAATGAAGTGGAGACATTTGAGAGATTTGTACAATCTGATTACTTACACATACTCGAAGATTTATGTTAATAGGACGTTATTTTTCTAAAAATCATGTAACATAATAAGTGATCATACAAAAAATAATAAAAATCTTTTTATAGACTGAACTAAAACACACCGTTGAACACCTCCATGAGGAGCAAGAGAGGATCGTCAAGATTGAAGCCGTAAAGAAATCCCTCGAGATCGAAGTCAAGGTAAAATTAATTTTTCACTTATTTGATTAAACTTATAAAATGTAATGACAACACTATGTTAGCCTTTTTTGGTGGTAAATTAAAGTTTGTATATATATGCCTGTACAAATTCGAGAATAATATATTCTTATTGTCATATTTTAGAACATTTCCGTCCGCCTGGAAGAAGTCGAAGCTAATGCAATTGTTGGTGGAAAGCGCATTATCAGCAAACTGGAGGCGCGCATCAAGGACATGGAACTGGAATTGGACGAGGAGAAGAGGAGGCACGCTGAAACCATCAAGATCCTCCGCAAGAAGGAACGCCAGGTCAAGGAGGTCATGATCCAATGCGAGGAAGACCAGAAGAATATCGCTCTCCTCCAAGACTCCCTAGAGAAGACCTCGCAAAAGGTCAACATCTACAAGAGACAATTGCAAGAACAGGTAATTTTTACTTAATTAAAAAACCCAATCATACATAATGATGGTTATCCCAATGAAGCACGAGATTTTACTTGCATGATTTTTGTTATATATTTGAATTAAATTATCGCGTCCGTTTATTATAGGAATTATAAATAAAAAAAATGTAAGTTTTAATAAAAAATGGCATGCTATACGCTTGCCAAAATAAGGCCAAAACTTTTTGGATAAGAATTGACACGGTCATTATTGTTGTATATGATTTTTTATCTCTTTTTATTTGCCCACAGGAGGGAGTATCCCAACAGAGCGTGACCAGGGTACGACGATTCCAGCGTGAGCTCGAAGCTGCCGAGGATCGCGCCGACGTCGCTGAGAGCAACCTGTCTCTCATTCGTGCCAAGCACCGTACATTCGTGACCACCTCCACAGTGCCCGGATCCCAAGTCTACCTGGTCCAGGAGTCCCGTGCCCTCAGCACGGAGTGAGCATGAACTCGCCTTCGCCCCGCTTCACCAGCATTTCTCTCTACCAGTCGTTAACGGGGCGCAATTCCGGTCGGGTATAAGCCTAGTCGTTCGTTAAGTGATGTATGATCTAGACAACAGATGGCGCTAACAAGCGGGTGCTCAGTAACGCCATCTGTTGGTATATCTGCAAGTCGGGACGGGCGCTCGGCGCAACGGCTCGCCCTAACGTCGCCGTGTCTCATCGTATGGCCATACGCCGACCGTTCGTCCCACTGGCATTTTTTTAATGTAACGCTAAATCAATCAAATAAAGGAACCAAAAATTCTCCAAGCTTTTTTTTCATTATTTTTATTATAAGGTTACCAGCGCTATAGAATGCAATGTCGTTATACGCCATACTACGGTGTAGTAGTTAAAGTAAATGAATTATTTTATATTATTATTTATTAATGGTGCAATACAAAATTGTACGTTTGTAACTGTAACTTTTAAAAATAAATGCTATTTATGTTAAAGAAACAAAAAAAAGGAATAAAAGTTTAAAAACAAATTGTATTTCATTTCATAACGGCCACTAAATATGAATAATATATTATACATTAGTAAGTAGTGAGAAAGATCCTATACAAATTATTATAATGGTACATACCAAGGCTAGTGTTGTAGTATGTGAATATTAAGAATCAAATTATAAACGTGATTTGGATGGAATGCACTAATATGCAAATAATTCACGTTCGATGAATGTGCTTCCTTAGCAGTTACATATCACGTACCCTAATATCCCCCTCTTAGATTTAAGTAGTATATAAGACGAATATTGTTTAGTTAATTAGAGGATCTACAACCTGAAACATAGTATCATTTCTCCCGACCACGCTGGCGCTATTTCATGGCGACCGTGACCAAGATGGTCCGAGTCTACAAAGTAGTGGTGTGTGTTGTGACATGGGACGGAGGTCAAGCTGTAAGTTATTTTCCTACATATTTATAATGGGATAGACAGCAAGTGATTTTTACTCCGAGAAAATTAAATTAACTACGATTATCAATTGGATATAAAGAAGATGCAAGAAATTTTTAAAAGAAGACATTGAAGAAACTGAAATGGTTGCAATATAAAAAGTAATTAAATGATAACGAAGAAGAAATGGCGGATAACCGAAGGAAAAAATATGTAAGAAGAATCTGATACTCAAGACGGTAACAAGCCAAAATGTGAAGCTTGGATATAGAAGAAGGAAAATATGAAGTGTTTATGGTGTCTGAAGAGCAATTGATAATTTTCGTATATTATATTATATCTCAATGGTAAAAATGTAAGTATTTCGTATCGTAACTTTAATAATTATTATAAAAATGCTAGGTAATGTGTAAGTTTGTAGTAGTGTAATTTTGTTAAATAATGGAGCGGTTTGACTTACTTACGGCTGTAGAATTATTACCTATAATTTCGGGACAAGAAGAAGTTACACTATCTTTGATAGATAATATTGAGTACTATAGTAGTGTTATTGATGAAAATTCGCAACAATTTTTGATAAATTTTGTCCTGAAAACTAGATTGTCATCAGTAGAAAAGTTTTATTTAAATTCGAATTATGATAACGTTGATAGTTTGATTACGGACATAAAAAGATGTCTTCTGCCGAAAAAGTGTCCATCTAATATTCAAATAAAATTAATTAATTGTAGGCAAGGAAATAGATCTATTAAAGCGTATGGTTCAGAGATAGATAAATTATTATACGAGTTAACGTTAGCACAGTCGGAAAATGATAAAACGAAATATAAAATACTGCAGCCTATAAATGAAAAATTAGCTATTAGATGTTTTTCAGCCGGACTGAATAATAGTCGTATTAGCTTAATATTAATTGCTAGAAATTTTAAATATTTAAAGGATGCTATACAAGCAGCGTTAGATGAGAATTGTATTTTATATAGTAGCCAAAGTAATTGGTATAATTATAATAATGTGTTTAAATTGAGTAATAATTCTCAAGGTATAAAGAATAATAAAGATATGAATAATTTAAATGATTCGAGAAAGCTAACTAGGTCAGATTTCGATTTTAGAGTTTCACGTGAAGAGGAAACTCACTATGTAGCTGAAGAGAGCAGCTCTTCATGCAAGTCTTTTACAGACTTAGATAATTTGATCAAGTGTGATAGAAGTTTAAAGTCGGATGAAGAGATTTTTCATATAGATGAGAACTATTTTGATATAGCAAATAGAAATATTTTTTCTTTGGAGGATATTAAGAAAAAACCAAGTAAAAATAAAAGTAAAATCGAGAATCTTAAAGTAGGCAAGAAATGTGCGCCTGTAGAACAGTTTAATGAGAAAACGAATTATTATGTAGATATATGCATCAAGGATTTATTTGATAAGGACATTAAGGATAAAAAATGTATTTTTTCTAAAAAAGGACGATGTGTTTATGTGCCAATAAAATCAGCCATGTTTATTAAAACCTCGTCGCTTTTCGAAGGGAAAAGATTTATTAAAGATTTTGAGGTATTTTGTCGAGATATAAATGTTAAAGGCTTGATTATTGATGAGAAATGGTTTGCGAATTTGCAGAATCTAATAAACAAGTATAAAGTGGTCCTACCAAACTTAATAGTGAAATGTCCGAAAGAAATAATTAATAGAAATGATTATAACAGTAAATGCGAAGGAAGTTATAATGAAAGTATAATAAATAAAACCGGAAATAATTCGGATGACTTTGTTGAATTCCCGGAAGGTAAAAATATAGACATAAAAGGGAATTATTTCGAACAAATGTTTGTAGATGAAAGATACGATAGAAATGCAATAGGCATTACTTAGAAATAGATAGTTTAATATTTGATTAATTAATGATTTTGATAGTATGTGATTTGGGTTTAATATTTGATTCATTAAAAATTGTACTGGTAATTGGTAATTAAATGTCAAAAAATATGTTTATATGAAACTCAAGACATAACTAAAATCGATAAACTATAAGTTATGTAATATTTTCATATGTCAGCAAGGTCACGGTAGTGAACATGATTTAATTCAAAGTCATAATAGCTGTGTACGCGCATGAATGTTCATTTAATTGTCAAAAGTCAATGTTCTTTCGTAGTTTGTTATTGTTTATCTAATGATAAGAATATTTCTTTTTTTGTTGAAATTGTTATTTATTAAATCGGAATTCTTTACTAAGGAGGCGCGCCAAGACGCAACGATAGGAGAATTAACCGAGTTATGTTATACAAGAATATGGTAGTTTAATGTATTTTGCTATAGATTTTTTATGAAGTGAGCTGAATGATTTTTTTATATTAATTGAAGTTTATATAAATATTAAATGTTCCTGTTAAGTTTCTAAATTATAATGATACGTGAAAAGTTGTGTAATAGTAGTTTTAAACTAAGAAGGATCTTTTCAGGGGAGGGACACCTAACCTTTTCAGGGGAGGTGTAGTATGTGAATATTAAGAATCAAATTATAAACGTGATTTGGATGGAATGCACTAATATGCAAATAATTCACGTTCGATGAATGTGCTTCCTTAGCAGTTACATATCACGTACTTTAATATCCCCCTCTTAGATTTAAGTAGTATATAAGACGAATATTGTTTAGTTAATTAGAGGATCTACAACCTGAAACATAGTATCATTTCTTCCGACCACGCTAACGCTATTTCAGTGTTGACCAAATACTAGTCACTTACTAGCAAATAAATATTAACGTATGAAACCTATATAAAACTTTATTTCTGTGTATTGTTCGGTAGTTGTCATACATTGATTATTCTATAGAGTTCAATAACCAAATGTAGTTTCTATAAATAGAAACATTATATTATATAGAAACATCTAATAAATAGAAACATAATAAAATAAGAGTTCAAATATGGTTTATAAAGAGTACGATTAATCATCATCATCATCATCAGCCAGAAGACGTCCATTGCTGAACATAGGTCTCCCCCTTGAACGCCACGACGGACGACATTGCGCCAGCTGCATCCAGCGGCCGCCCGCGACTCGGACGATGTCATCCGTTCAGAAAAAGTCGTCCAAAAAAAGTGTGTGTGTACGATTAATACATGTATTTATTATGTTTGATCAATTTTTCATTCAGAATGTTATAACGCAAAATATTCTTCATGAAACTGTCCTTAGCACTTTGATATGGGACTCGAGCCCATGACCTTTCGCTGAATTGCGACTACACTAACCACTTAACTACCCAGGACCTAACAGGATTGACAGAATTTATAAGCACTTGTTACTTTACGCTACTACAGTGCGTACTTTTATCAATGTTCAGGCAATCCACCCTGCTGAACGAAATATTGTTACGATTTATGAACGCCACCGGGACACAAACGTGTGACAGACGCATTGTCGAAAATTCTATAAAACTTTTCGCTTAAATTGTTATTTTTAAAATATCATGAAGTTTATGATAAAATTAAGGCAAGTGAACGGAACAATGTTTTTCGAAAAAAGATAAATGACAAATGCAGTTACTTTTCATAATAATGCCGTATTGGCGTAAAACATGCGGTTTTACGGATTGCGAACGTAATAATAATAATATATGCAACCTCTTTTTAGGTTTAGGTGCGCCCACAGCGGCGACATATAACAGCAGACCCACGAAATCTTTTATTGACATAATTTGATTTACTTGATAGATTTGTCTTAATTATATCTAATTAAACATTAAAGAGGTGTGTGTGTGTGTGTATGTGTGTGTGTGTTTGTGTGTGTGTGTGTGTGTGTGTGTGTGTGTGTGTGTGTGTGTGTGTGTGTGTGTGTGTGTGTGTGTGTGTGTGTGAGTGTGTGTGTGTGTGTGTGATTAATTACCTATTTGATTGCAAGAGTAATTCAGTATCGTTATAGTTTAGAATCTTTATCCATTTATTTAATGTATGTTTACATTCATTATAAGTTTTTGAGTATATTTGTAATTCTTTATTTATTTTATTATAAAGATAAGCTGATTGACTGTTGTATTGGAATCTAGCAAAAGCTGTTCTTGTTTTAGGGATTTGCAAGACTGTGGTTTTTCTTCTTTTAATTGCTAATTTAGGGTCATAAGTTAGAGTTTTATGTCGCTTTAGTATGAGATTAACAATATATAATTTCCGATTGATAGTAGGTTAGTTATTCGATAAAGGCTTTCAGTAGAAAAACGCCGGCTCTTGAAATACATGACCTTTAGCAATGATCTTTGGGCTCTTTCAACCTCGAGGAAGCGTGTTTTATATGTACCACCCCATACAGGTAAGCAGTATGTTATGATCGATTGTACTAATGCAATGTATATTTTGTTGTTATGACACAAACGTCCATTAAGGTTAAATGACGCCTTTAAGCGCTAATGCATGTCAAATTTGTATGGGTAATGTCGCTTTAATCTAATGAAAATATTAATGGACGTTTGTGCAACTGGCTAATATTCTAGTGCACACAAAAGATGCAAATTCATTGCAAGACTCATAAAATTTATGTTTAAATTACATTGGAAAAAAACTATTCTATTATTATATACATGTACAATGAAACAGAGCATTGTCCCTATTTACATATGTAGTTTAGTTTTTTATACATATACTGTGAATCACTCAACCTATAGGTACTAGGTTACCGGAGCGACTTGGAACAACCTGTGCATAATGTAAACGTTGATAATTAAGAACACAGTGACCGTTTTAAACATTGTTTCTAATTAGGTACTATGGGAAATATTCCAATATTTTGTATCCTGAAATAGTAAGTAGCATAATTACTAATCCTTTTTTCTAGGTATAGTATATTTTAAATAAATTGTATTTTCGAAATTCGCACGGACCCAATGGTAGATAGAAGTTTGTATACAATAATCTGCAAATTTCTTTGCATCATTTATTGAAAATTAGCTTTTGCCCGGGCCTTCGTCGTCGTAGTATAGTACCTTTAATATTTCTTCATTATATAGTGTAAAATACCTGAAATAAAATTTTATGACTTTATTCTAGCCAATGATGAACTTCCGTACAAACTGTGATTCCTTATTTTAATCCTTTTATCTCAAGTCAACTCTGTTAATAGTGGGTTAGGCGTGAGAGCGTAACTAACATATTCACAGACCTTTGCGTGTATATTATTAGTTTGGAATAATTAAATGATTCACCTTGTCGCTTTGTAAATTATAATTGTTAATATATAATGAATATGTCGTTACCAATTTGGTAAAAGATCCGTCCAATAAGGCGGCTAGCCCTATAACAGTAAAGAGCCATTCATTTGCACGGCTAACCTTCGATTAGCTGAGTAACAATCACAACGTCCTTATACTGTGCGGTGTACAACGTTCTGGGAACTGGTCAACTGTCAAGGATCACGATACGAAACACGATTATTAATAAAATTAATAGCAAAATATCCGCGATATTCGAATAAAATTACTTTGATGTTCAACTTCGAAGACACTACAACAAAAAGCTATATCTATTTATTTATATAAGGTACAGCAACAGCTATACATGTAATTAACCGACTAACGTCTAATATGTAACAGTACTTTATCTCTGAAAACTTTAAAGCTATTTATCCGATTTGAAATGCAGATGCAAAGAAAAACACAAATCTAGAATCACGGTCAGCCATTTTACGTCCCTACTGCAAGGGCCTTCCTTATGGATTGGTTAAGGAGGATAGGCCATGCCCTACAAGCTGGATTCGTCACCCATCCCGTGACCAATCCTTGCGAAAGTTGTAAAACAACAACGATCACGGGCTGCAGCGCTTATCCACTACGCAACCGAGCTACTTATCAGTATAGCAAAGTTCAAATTTCTTACTAAATTTTATTTGAAAACTTAACCTTGACCAAAACAGTGCGATGTAGAAGTAAGTAAACGCCGTCTAGTATAGCAGAAAATATATAGTTTGAGTTTTCTTTCAAATATGTTTGTACTTTAATATTTTCAAAAATATTTATTTAAAATGTTATTTTGTTTTCAATTATGTACTCAAATACCATTATTTATCACAATATAAGGAAATCTTTATAAATTTATTACAATGACAAAATTGTAATCAATTGTTGTTATCGTGATATTTTGATTCCCCATAAAAATTTCACTCCCATTTTCATCCCTTTATGTGCCGTTTTTAATATAGACCTATTACCTTTCTAGGGTCTTCAACAAACCATACCTATACCTATTTTCGTCGGTAAAGGTACAAATACAATGAAGTTTCATGCAAAAGTTTTCACCCATTTTAATCCCCTTTGGGATGGAATTTCCAAAAATCCGTTCTTAGTACATCTCTACATAATAATACGAATGTACTCTCCAAATTTCAATCTCTATGACCAGCGGTTGCGTTATCTGACAGTCAGTTAATCAGAACATCTCCTTTTATATGTGTCGATAAGTACTTTCGATAAAAATTGATGCCTACAGAGATAACTCAAAGATTTATTTGTAAAGTTTTGTAATGGTTTTTCTTCGATGCTTTTCACTAGTAAACCGGTTGTTTTAAAATTAAAATCGGTTCTAGTAGTTTTTATTTCCTCTTTATAGTATTATATTAACATCGATTCTAAAACTACAAGACTTGAAAATTGAAACATATCAAAACCCATTAACCATAATGTCGGGAAGAGGAGAGAGAATTTAATAATGATTTATGTAACAAAACATTCATATAAAGTTTAAAAAAAAATTTAATAGATTCTATAACATGATTTCTGACATGTTATAGGTTCTACAAAATTTTTTAAAGCTTCAAAATATTTAAAACATTTTATAATATATTTTCTTTTTGTATATTGTGCACACGATGTTTGTTGTTAAAATAAATGTTTTCTATTCTACTTCATTATAAATAGAGTGCGCTAGTTATAAACTCCATAGAAAACTCTATATCCCATTTAGTTACCTATTTCAACCATTTACTTTAAGGAATAAAGTTTCCTGTTTACAATATAATGATAAATGAAGTGCGGAGAAACAGAAACTAGGTCTAGCCGTCTGTTGTTAGGTCACCAGGCCAGGAGCTATGACTAAAACACTACGTCACTGGGATATAGCCAGAAAATCGCTCTCATAAATAATATTGCTGCCAAAAACTTAAGCTTTGATGTATTTTTTTATTCCTTAAATGTTTTCCCTTACTTTTATTATCTACCAAGTATCTATCAGTCAGCCAGTTGCAAAGTTTAAAGCAACATTACCCATACTAAATGACTTTCATTAGAGCTTACATGCGTCATTAAGTCATAATGGACGTTGTGCAACTAACCATGTAACCTTTATTTTTATCATTGCTGTCCAGGTCCTGTAATGAAATCAATACTTAACTAATATTATAAATGAGAAAGTACAACTCTGTCTCTATCTAAAAGAGAACTCTGACTGTCTGTGTGTGTATCACGCAGTCACGTCTAAACTATTGAACGGATTTAAATGAAAATTTGTAGTATAAATGGTACTAAAGCCTGAAAAAGGAGATTGGCTACTTTTTAAAGGGCTGTAAAGGTTAAGATACGGAATGAAATTTTTTGCGTGATGACATCGCCAAAACAGGCCATAAAATAAAATAAAAGAATAACGTGGCGAGGCGTAGGGAGAATACGCCTAAAATGTTTACGCGAAAAATGATATAGCTTTTCATTGGTGATTTTTTCTTGGTGACTTTCGGAGCCCATATGATGCAAGCTAAATTTGTTTTATTTCAAAATATAGAATCGAGTTTAATTTTGAAATAACTGAGAAATAATACTTAACTAAGATACTTACTTATTTAAGAAACTTCTATTGAAGTCGGACGGTTATTATTCACTCACAATAACCTACAAACACCTCTTAAGACCTCTTAAGAAAAAATTGAGACTTTCATTAGAAACGGTTTCTTTTTAATTCAACTTACGAAAGTGGTCCTGAAATGAAATGAAATGAAGTAAAAATATCTTTATTCAAGTAGACTATTACAAGCACTTTTGATTCGGCCCAAAAAATATTTTTCCCCTACCACTTGTTCAGGACGTCTTTTAGCTGACAAGAAGAACAAGCGAAAGAAACTTACCAGCTCATTATCATAAGTAATGACATTTACATAAACATGTCATTACCAAAATAATATGTATTATTACAATAATAAATACAACTTTCAAAGTCTGTAGGACATAGGTTGAACATATAATTAATCTTTATAGAACAAAGCGAAGGCTATCAATTCCATGCATTGCGATCCTTAAAATAATCATCAACTTTATAATAGCCTTTACTCATAAGTATATTCTTTACATGAATTTGAAATTTATTTTTGGTAGGTCAACTACATTTTGTGGAACTTTATTGAACATAGCAATACATTTACCCAGAAATGATCCTCTGGTTATAGAAATGATCCTGATTTTTATATACGATTATTTAACATTACATGTCCAGCAATATCAAAGGAAAGAAGTTGTGATAGCGAGTAATCTTATAAGCGATCGTTTTATTCGTTTCATCTGTTCAATTCAATAATATATATTATAGTTGTATTTTGTTAAATGCTTAATTCATAATTAACATACTTTAACTTAAGCCTTGAATGTGAGAGACCAGTGCCCATGAAAATAAATTTAGTTATCATAATGTTAGGCACATAAGCCGGATATCCATATTAATTATTAATATAAATAAAATTCCGGTCTGATTGATTAATTATATAAATGAATAATGCGGGTGATGTGTGAAGAGTGAGAGATACAGAGGCCCAAAACAAAATTAATTGTTTGTACAGAGACTACATGTAAACGTACGTTTGATATTGATACTAGAAAACGTGAATTTACTGGCGTAATGAAGTTAATAGGTCATAGCCTTGTAGCTGTTAGTAAATAATGTATTATAGATGTTAAGACCTAACCCGATTGTAATATTTAGAATATGCAGGGGAGCTGATGTTTTGTAATAATTTTTGAATCATAATACCACTAATTATCATCAATTATAGGTGTATTGAAAGTTTAAATATTTTATATAATGTTTAAGCGTCAACGAGACGTGATCGCTATTCCAGGTCCTGTTATTCTAGGACATGTCCTAGTTTGTCCTCGAATGTCGCGTAATACAGTAGTTGCCGAAAATTCACTTATCATGTTTTTATCATACATAATATCGCTGAGTCTTAAACAAAAAACGAACAGGACCAATGACGAAGTTACACTCAAAGAAAAAACTTATCAATTTACTAAAGCAATTTATAAAAATTAGTTATTAAAATTTATTAAAGAAATCTTGAAATCTGAAGTGAAATATTACAACAAATACTGAATATATTATAAAGTCCGCTATATTTTCAATATGGACCACTGTTTAAGAACTGTTAAAGTCTGTTTATTTAAGAATAAAATTAGCGTACGATCGTGCGATCGTCAATGTCTCGCGTCGTACTCGCAGCGTGAGGCCTAAATGTCTTTTTGTTGTAAGCTGAATCTGCGCTCACGCCGCCCGCCCAGTATTCGGCCGTCCGCCCTGCGTCGCGAGCGCATCTATACGTCACAGAAACACTAGCCAGGTTAGTCTATATTACTACATTAATAAATAAATTCATATCAATACAACTTGTCAACAGTACCGTTCAACTATTTATGTGTTTTATTTGAGTAATGTTAAAAAACGCGACGGTTTTATTTCTGTACTGCATAATACTGGATGCATGTCGTCTCGACAGTGGATGTGTAATTAACCAAAACGGCATTTTGTGTAAGGTGAAGCATAAATAAAGTCTTAAAGATTTTTTATATAAATACGTTTGTTATTTCATTATATTGTGTACTCAAAAAAATAATCGAGTCAATGATTGCATTCTTTTGCGTCCAGCTTTAAAACTTCTGTTTTATACTTTACTCTTGGTTACATAGACAATTGACAAGTAAATCTGTGATCATATTTTGTTTAGCTATGATACCATACTCATTCTTTTTTTTAATTTGGAATTAAATCTATTTATTAGTCTTTCAGATTTTAAATAGTATCAAAATCAAAATTCCTAATATTTTTCAGCAAGTACCATCAAAGTACCATCTAGGTTTAGTGCTAATTTTTACGAATGAAATCATTATTTATTATATAATAGAGTTTCAGTTCTTAAACTATTTTTGTGACTCAATAAAAAATAACTACTTTATAGTACAACGTAGTAGCATAATTGTAGTCGTGTTATTTGAAACAACTGTTTCGACACATCAGTTAGCAAACTGCAACTGCAATATCAGGTCGCGTTATAAAAGTTTTTATAGTGTATCTGTCTCTCAACACATGTTTATAGTTTTAGCCTATAATCGTCTTCAATAACAACGTAGTTTTATAATAATAAAAACATATTTCAAGCTTTTTATAGCACTACTCTTACAAGTATTGTAGTCGATGGAACTCTTTCTACTCTTTTCTTTTACTTGAAAAGGAATGGATAAACCTGTTTTTTGTATTGTATGTTTGATTTAGGAATGCTATAGTGCCTAATATTTGTCTTACTTTCCCAAACTGTTATATTAGTTAATTTGATAGTGTGGGTCAAATTTGGAAAGATAAATTTGACCCTTTTCCTGTTTTCGATTGAGCTGAAATTATGCGCACACATGAAACTTAGATAACAATGCATTATTAACAGGGAATAGAGTAACCAAAGCCAAGACCACTTTGATTAAACTATGTTATTAAATAATGTGACCCATTGAGTTTGTCCTCTTTTATCTCCACAAGTGATCTCATCTAAGATATTAACAAAAAAAGTCTATTATGACAAAAAATGTTATTGAAGATCCTTTATTACTTGAAATGCGATAATAATGGTTGGCGCTCATTTAATTTTATCTATATTATCTGTATTATTATTGATATTTAATATATTTCTTTACAACAACACCCGTTATAACATTTAAATTGCTACTAGCTACCCACTTAGACTTCAAACGAGTAAAATTAGCATAGCTAGCTTGCAGTCCTAATGTTTTTTCCTGCATTTACTTCAATCATTGCCATACTTGTAACATAAAGTCTTGAAGCTATGCTCGCCCTAGTAATTTTTTGTCATCTTGACTTCTTTCTATAAGTATGTCTGTTCGTTTTATGGGAATCGTCTATTTGTCAATTGTTTAAGTCCACACGCCACTGCAAATATTCTTATGTAAAAGTCACCAGTGAACGCATTACTTTATGAATCACTCAGCTTTAAGCCAAAATCTTCACCCGTGGTCCTATATTATACGAGATAGATCCGTGTTTCAATTTTGGGTCACGACCCGAGGTTACGAAACTCCTGCTAGATATGGAACTCGACGTCGAGCGTAGTCTAACCAATAAAAACATATTGTACTTATTTCAAAAAGTAATAAAGGTTTTATTTCAATCAAGTTCTATGATGTCACATTGCTGTACTTGACATTTAAAGCCGTTTTAACAACACAGCATGAAAACTGATCGAATAAATAAATTTAGTGAAATGACCCTAGGTTAGTTGCACAAACGTTCCGTTAAGTTTTACTGATGCCTTTAAGCTATAATGTATGTCAAATTTGTATGGGTAATGTCACTCTATTATGATGACTATTTTAATGGACGTTTGTGCAACTGCTTGTAGAACTATTAAAAACGGCAAAAGTATTTTGTGTAGTCTTTTTGTGTAATTTTGCTTATTATAGATTCATTTAATTAAACAATTCTATCTAATCAAAAAATGAATGATACGTACACCTAATTTATTTTAAAAGAGTTTTGTAAAATCCCTATAATATATTTCAAATGGTGAATCGCAAAATATTTTAATACTTTTAGCAAACCATTTTGTAAATCTCTGAAGACAAATTCCTTAATATTTGCATAAATGATTGTTTTTCTTCAACTGTTAATTGCTTAACGACCACCGCCGACCGCCATAACATTGAAATAACCACAATATGCCTTATTATTAATACCTCTTTAGTTAACAATGGAGTTTGTGAAATTCTTGTATAATAGATTTTTAGCAACAACAAATAGACTTCGGTAATTTCAATAATCTTTCATTATTACCTTGGCCACTGTATTGAACTAAATTAAATCGAATACGGAGAATGGTCATCACGAGGGCCCAGTGGGGATTTGTGGGTGCTAACGACAGCCGGTACCGACGGCTTAACGTGCGTCCTGAAACACAGAGGAGCTCGAGATATAAATTTTTGTTAAAAAATCAATAAAAAACCCAAAAAACTCCGTAGCCGAGTGGTTCGCACGCCGGTTTAAGGTGTCGCCATCTCTGTGGTCCCGGGTTCGATTCCCGGTCAGGTCAATGTAGAAAATGAACTTTTCTATATTGACTCGGGTCTGGGTGTTGTGGTACCTTCGTTGTCTCAGATACTCCATAATACGGGGGCTTTAGCTACTCATCTTAGAATCTGAGCTATGTATGTGATGTTGTTAAATATTTATTTATTTAATTCTTAAAATTGAAAGTAAAAATATAATTTTAAGTAGATGCAAAGTTTACACCAAAGTGGCTTCTAGGTTATGTAGAGGTAGAATATCATTTTTAAAAATATATAATTTATTGTGTTACAAAGAATAAAACAGTTTTTGATGTTACTTATGAATTATAAGAAACTTAAATAAGTATAACATTAGCAAAAGTTTCTAATGTCAATTTGCAACTAAAGTGAATAAAATAAGTATATAAAGATAATCGAAAGATTTGAAACCTACCAATTCCGTATTTACGCGAGCAATCAGTAAATTTCATCTTCTTCCTATGATTGAATATTAATAAAAGTTACAAAATATATATTCCTCAAAAATTTTGCTCGACAGGCCTAGTTAGAAATTATACTTAAAAAATCGCATATTTAAAAAAAAATATCGCGTATTTATGGTTTTTGTTATGGTAACATAATATTTTACTAAAAAAATAAAATTTAACTGTTTAAAAACGAAAAATATCTTAAACGAAATGAAACTTCTATTGAAGTCCAGCGTTTAATATTTAAACTTAAAAGTCACATGAACGTAAGAAATGCTATATTTCAGGTTTTTTAAGTCAGTTTTATTTATTTAAAAAAAAACGGTATACCTACTATTACACTGTTCAAAATCATAGTTATTGGCCCAATAAAAATGAAGTCATCATAAATTAAAGTAAATCTATGTCAAGTGTTCGCATTTCTAATTGTTTATGCCTACCAGGCGTAATTTATGATTCATCCTCTTATCCCAGCCTGGGGGCCAATTCTACTAAATAAATTTTGTTTAAATCGAATCGAAAACGGATCGAAACCGAACGAAACTACGGTTTTTACTGGTTTTCCTATTCAACAAAGTGACACGATACAATTCCATTTCTATTTTAGCTGGAATTGTATCGTATGTCACTTAGTAGAATAAAAAAACCATTAAAAACCGTAGTTTCGTTCGGTTTCGGTCCGTTTTCGATTCGATTTAAACAAAATTTATTTAGTAGAATTGGCCCCCTGTTCGACATTTTATGCTGCTGTTTTCGACGACAATTATTTTTGCTAGTTATTTTTTTAGTATACATTCATTGTGTATATTTAACAATGTAGTTACTGAACCCTATTGATTCTAAGTGTTATGCTCGGTGTGCGATTGCAGGTGTTAAGCGACGTATACAAAAGTCGGACATAAGATGGGTGACCACAATCAGTATTAAGAATATGTCATAGAGAAATTTGGCATGCACATAATTATTGATTTCGTGTTAAAATAATTGTAAAGAGTAAAAATGTTTGATATGAATTCCTATAAGTGAATAAGATTTATAAATGTGAACAGTTTAAAATTAAAATCATATTCGAATTAAAATAGTTGAGGAAAAAATAAAGTCATTCATAGTGACTGCCCAATTACATAACACAGAAACTACATTAACTCTCCCTTCTGAAGTCTTAAAATCTCAGTTTAGATAATAATAGAGTCGAGAATACATTTTCTGACATGGAACAGCCGTCTCTAAGTTATTAGTCGGAAACATACTGAATTAAATAATCTAAAGAGGAGGGCGGATATAAACAAGCAGGGATATATAAAAATAATTTGTCAGGATGTCCTACCGAGGCGAAATGTGCCCTGGCTATATTTAGAAGGCGCGCATCGTGTGAATACACCTATGAGTTAAATTCAGTTAGAATAAGGTGTTGATTATTTCTAAACCAGTACACAGTGATTCCCAGAAGCAACCAAAGTACTCTGCAGAGAATGGTAAATTATTTTTAAACGTATAAATATTTTATACGTGTAATAATACTTTACTAAGGTACAGCGTATTAAAACAAGTGGGTTCGTGGCTTTTTAAGTCTAAGAAAAAACTTGACGGTTGATTAAATCTTAAAACATTGTTTTTATTTTATCAAACCAAAAAGAAATCCTTTTAAGATACATGGTAGAGTTGAAGCTGCAACGCTTTCCTAGCCACTCTTGTTCAACCCATGTTTACACTATTTCGAGGTCTTATTTCTTGAATTTCTTTATAGTTACTATATTAAAATATTCATACTTTTCATATAATATTACTAATAAGGTTATACTTAA